TATATATATATATATATATATATATGTGTGTGTGTGTGTGTGTGTGTGTGTGTGTGTGTATATAAATACATGTAAATAAATGTTCTTAAGAAACATGTAATATATTTTTACATTTATTTATAAATAAATCATATATAAATATGAATATTTATATAAATATACACATATATTATGTAAACATTTTTTTATTTTGGATGCGATTCATCGATTTGACAGCACTATTTATATAATATGTTACATATTTTAGCAACTTTTTACTAGTAACTATTATATAACTACTATATAATACAATTACTTGTAGGACTATTATGACTGTTTGCATTTTTTCTACTTATAATTGCCATCATTCACAATGTTGATTCTTATTAGATTAGCATTACTGTAATTCTATGATTTTGTATATAGAGTACATGAATATTTAAAAATTTAATTATTGTTTTCTTTCATTGTAATGTGTGTATATATCGTATATATCACTGTAATGTAGCTATATATACATTCATTTTCTAAAATATATTTTGTATAAAAAACTTTCATCTTTTTAGGTTTATTGTTAATTGTAATTTGTAATTGTAATTAATTGTATTTGTCCAACTCATAATTGCTTTTATTTCCAATGATGATTCTTATTAGATAATCATTACTGTAATTATATGATAATACAACTATATGGGCATTTAACAATGTAACCAGTATTATTTATCATTTTTATAATTTTCATTTTGCATTAAGAATTAATTTTTTTAATATTTGATATACACACACACACACACACTCGTGAACTTCCTGTACATGATGCTTTCTGGTGGCATCCAGCGAATGGGCAGCATTGTGTGTCCTCCCACCTGTCGGGGCACCAAATTTTGATGATCAAGGACTAGTCACCTTCACAAACTCACAAAAACTCAATATTAACAAAAGCAAGCCACACTCCATGTTAAAATAAGGAGTTAAAATCCTTATTATTTGTATGTACCTGTATTTGTGGAGAAAAGTTAAAAGTCGCCTAGAGGCATTTTAAAACATTTTTGTCCAAATTCCATTTGATTTCCTTGATTTTTTTCATAGCATTTACTAATTTATTAAGGCTCTGTCACACTAAGGACAATAACTATAGCAATAACTACAAAGTTTAAAAAAAATTGCTCTAATTCTATGAGAACAATAACCTCCACATCAAAACTATAATGATAACAACAGAGAAATTATATTATGGGAATTTTCTGAATGTTTTTTTTTTCAGCTGAAAAAAAAATTACAGTAAAATAATAAATAAATAAAAACTGACAACTAATCAAAATTATCTGACTTTAAAGAGCTTGAGCATTTAAGTCAAGACACCCAAGGTGAATAGGGGGAAAAAAAATCATAGCTTGATTGTAGTTGATTCTATAATAGTTTACATTAAGAACTGCAAACATTTTTTTTTATTCTACTGCCAGTTTCATTAAATATGTATATGTGCAAATAAGGCATTATCTATTTAAACATGCACTCATTTAAATACATTTCCAAAAAAAAAAAAAAAAGAACATTGGATAAGGTTTCAAAATTTCCTAATTTTTCCCCATATTAGGGTTTTTATAAAGATAATTTTAGATGTTTTACTACATAATGTAAATAATAACCAAATTACTAAATTTGGTTGCACTACATTACAGACTTACAGTGTACTTACCTATGAAAGTACTGGTAAAATAAGGTAACTACATTGGGGTACTAGGGTTAGGTTTAGGGGTAGTTTCAGGGTTAGTACCTAGTTATTACCTAGTTATTGTAATCACTATAATAAGTACATAGTATGTACATGAGTAACAGGACTGTAAAATAAAGTGCTACCCTAAATTCGATCATTGTAGTTATCTGTATAGTTCTTGTTTTTGGTGTGAAAGGGCCTTTAATCCTAATTTCTGCTTTTTAGAAGCTGGTAAATAGATCAACCCCTTTTGCTATAAAAAATAACCAATGTGATTTACAAGATTTGTCAAGCCTGGAACCATAAAACTGAGAAACCAGGAAAGACGGAGAAAGGTAAAACAAATATATCCATTAAAGGTTTTTGACAGCTCCAAATCATCAAAAGCCATAAATAAAGTCTCCCTCCAGGCCTTCCCCATGTTAAGCGAGATATTAATTGATTAAAACAACGAGACATTAATCATCTCTGCCCTGCGCCGGCACCGGACTGGATTGGTTTAGAATCCATTTCCTCTTCGTGTCTGTTGGGTTGGTGTTAATTACAGCCGTGCCAGGACAACTGAGAGTGACGTTTCAATGGCGGCCGCGTGGTTATTGCGGCTTTCAACTCGTAAGTGGTGACTGCGTATTAATTACAAGGCTCATTAGTGGTTTGCTCACATGGGGGTAATGCTATCGACTGCGCGCAGGAATACAAAGCAGCCTGCGGCGTACTGTACATCCTCAGAATGCCTGTTTGTGCTTTATAGTATGCGTATTACGCTTTTATTTTTACCAGAAATTAATTTAGGTAGAAAATAGTAAGAAGAAAAACAACTCTTAATGAGATTATGGTAAAATGTTTATTGGCTCACGTCCCACAATGCTTTGGCAAGAGTGTATCCTTGGCAACAGGACGTGTCTCTAAGCACAGAGCACAATGACAACAATTTAAGAATTAGGAAAATGTGACTGTTTTCGATGTTTGACGATGAATAAATCACCGTTTATCAAATAAGCAACAAAAAATAACTCTGGTTGTGCATCCACACTCATTTAAATGTGCAAAATGCAAACTACTCGTAATAATGAGTGCAAAAATATGAACGTCACGATTAGGAAACTGTATAGAGGCATTGAGATGTACTGTAATTAAAGGTCTGGGAAGTTTTTTTTTTCCCCCGCCGTAATGTCTTTAATGTAGGGAACGATAATGCTGTGTATGTTAATCAGCTACGCTTCTGTGATTCTCATTCGCAGCCAGTTCCTCACAGAGGAGGAAGCTGTCCCACAGGCTCCAGTGATGTGTGGCAAATATCCCTCCCCTCGCTGGCTCGCTCTTTCCCTCCCGCCTCTGCCCTTTAGGAGGTGTAAGCAATATGCCAGTCCTGCTGCGGTCAAACAACATTCCTCTTGTTCCGTGAGATGGAGTACAGGGTACTACTGGGCCGCTGCTAGCGCTCCCCATGCGTGGGCAGGAACTGCTCCCTATGGCCATACTGAGCTCCTCGCCTGGCTAACTCGGCCCACTTTAGCGTTAGCGCACAACATCCTTGCCAAGAAAAGTCAGCCAGGGATGAAGGTAATGAAGGTATGATCACCGGTAATAGACAAAGATAGAGAGGAGAGAGACAGAATAATGTTTGGAGAGCTTGAAACAGTCAAACAAGATGCTAACATACGTTAGTTGCAATGCTAGTAACAAGCTGCTGATGTGTAAGATCCTTTCCCCCCACAGTCTGATGATAAAAAATAGCTTATTATTAATGAAAACATGCTACTGTAATGTCTTTTAAATTACATGTCAGAGAATTAAAAGTGTCAAATGAAACAATTATCTTTATTTGTGTTTTCAATTAGGCTTTGATTAGAAAGCTAAGAGCTTAGTTTATTAGCTTAGCGTAGCGCTAACTGTTTAAGACTGGTTAACTGGCTCTTTTGATTAGCTAGAACAATATATCACAATAACAGGCTACTTTTTTCAGTCAGGCATTGAGGGGAATAAGACACTGCATACTACTTGCATACAAACAATAAAAGAAAAACTATGAGGTGAGTCACAACATTACAAAGTTTAATTTGAAGCAAAAACATCTGAAATACAGACAAAAAGTCGGAAGACTGTATACTGTGTTAATAGCTATAATGAGGGAAAGAACTACAATTCCATGAAGTATTGCGAATGACAATAAAAAAAAAACTAAAAAAAAACGATGTACTAATTTAAACCACCGATTAAAAGATGTTAATTAGAGATATAAGACATGTTGGTCACACTTTATTTTAAGGTCAAATTCTTGCCATTAACAAACTTTTGCCTCAATAAACTAATTTGCTGCTAGTTTACATTTACATTCAGTCATTTAGCAGACTAGTAATAGTTAGTAAGGTAGTTGTTAAGTTTAGATATTGGGTAGGAATTATGATGTAGAATGTGGTCATGCAAAATATGTGCTTTATAAGTACTAATAAACAGCCAATAAGTTATTAAACGACAATTTCAGTTTATTTAAAAAAATATAACAAGCTCACAGCAGGTTTGTCTATAAAGGTTTATAAGTTTTCACATAAGTTACATGGGACTTTCAGAACCCAACTGCTGCACTCTTTTTTCTTTTTTCTGCCGTTCATACCATTCTAGTGTAGTATGCTATTATTTAATTTAGCCATGGCTAATGTCCACATACACTCCTATATTTTAAAACCAAACGAAATAGGCTGTTTGTTATGAAATACTAGCCTTACACTTACTAACTCTATACAGCCTACTTTTTCTTAGTTAATTTTAAATTATTCAACGTTAAACAGTAGTATGCTTCATTACGTGTCACATTACATTACATGTGAGTGGCATCTAGTTTTAAAATTGGAAATTGAAAGTGTTGTTTGCCATTTTTAATTCAGTTTACATAGATTGCGTTTTTAATCCCAGTTCATTCATCACACAGGTTGATTGGAGTGCACTGTACAGTGTGCTCTGCATACTGCAGTGTATCCATACAGAAAAGTGCACTGAGTAGGCAGTAGGCAGAGTAGGTATGCTATACGACAGAAATAGTAATAGTAGTATGTTAGTATGCTAATCTAAACACAGACATATTCAGTGTTTTTGTTTAGTGAATATGTTCGTGCTCGAGTGTTTGGGAAATTGAATCGATTGCCATGATTGAACTTCTATTCATCTGAATAGCTTCTCCCGGATTGCTTCCCACCATCTTTTCCGAGGTGGAACGACGAGACTGCAGATGCATGTAAATCAGTCTGCGGGGCTTCGTTGAGATCGGAATGAGAACTGGCAGGGTGGTGACAAAAAGGCCAACGCAATCTGAAAGGGCACCGATGAAAGGCAACACAATTAGCAACTGGAGGAGGGAAGAATCGGAGACGAGGAGGATGGGAATCACATAGCGGTAATTAATGCATATTAAAATCAATAGCATGTTTGTTTCAATGAACAGCTGACGAGTGATGATGTCATTAAACGAGTGCTCGTCAGAAGTTAAAGAGCGTTGAGGATTAAGACGTGGTTGGAATTTCGAGCAGTTTTTGAGCAGGTTTCATTAATAGATAAATATATACTTTATTACTTGTTTCAATTAATGGAGTATTCAAGTCCTTCAACCTCATAGGAGAACCTGCTAGCTCTAGACATTTGAATGGATTTGAAGCAAGGTAGCTCAACTTTGCTCTGCCAGGTCTTGCTGGCAGGGAATTGAGGTGTTTGGTTCCTACATCATGGCCTTCAGCACAAATTTACTCTGACAAAGAAAACCTGAGCGACTCCAAATCGACCGTAGCTTCTCCACCTTCTGCAAGTGAGATTATATGCCACAATCATTACATGGATGAGGAAGCAAGGCTGTTGATGAATACTGACTCTGGGCTAACCGACTGCGTTCATTCCCAGGAGACCACCTTGTAGAGGTTCTTTCTGGAGAATGAACACGTCAGAATGTCACCGGTGTCAGAGAAGATGTGCTTTTGGATGCCATTTTGGTTTATATCTGCTCGGAGATGTGAGGCATATGTGCCTATTACAGTTGTAAGCTAAGACAGACCTGCAGATCAGGTTTGCGTTCATGCAAAAATCACCAAATGGTGATAAAAGCTCTGTTTCTGAAACCTAGTGAGCTGCTTCCTACATAGACAGCAAACTAATAGCAGAGTCACTGATTTGAAATGCTCTACCTAGGCATATAAATAGCATTCTCAATGCTATTTCTGATAATGCTAGAAAATAATAAGAATTAAAAAAAGCAATAATATATCTCATGCTGCTCATCTTTATGCATCAATGCAAATTGCCTCAGCTGCATTTAGGTTTGCCTGTGCAAAACTGTAATGGTTTGGGTCACTTCCTGTTTGTTGGGAACGGTAAATTGATTGTCGTCTCTTTTGTTCTGCAGAGTGCAATCTGCCATTTCACAGTGCCATTAAAAGAAAGTAAGCCACAGAATATAGGAGCAGAGATGCAATGGTCTATTTGACATTTACTGTTAATGTAACATATTTCCTCTATTGCAATCAGAACTGATGCTCTGGGCACTGCAACAACCGGTGTCTGCTGAAGGATCTGCATTTAGAAATTTGTTTTTGAGGCATAAGTCTGTAAACAATTCTGCTTTTTGGTCATAAGGTTTTTTTTTTCGTCTCCCATATGCTTGCCATTTAAAAAAATGATATAATAAATATAAACACATATCATATAATATAGTAGGAACAGTATATAATAAAATAATAATAATAATAATCTCACAAAACATTAAAATAAAGCAATAAATAAACAAAACAGTCACAAAGTAATTTACAAAATAATAATATGTGTTATATTATTATTATTATTAAATAATAATACAAAATAATAAAAATACAATATAAAAAAATAAATAATACAATATAAAATATTATTGTATAAAATAATATCATTTTAATGCTCTGTAAAAAAAATAAATACAAACATTTTATTATTTGATGTGGCTTGTTTATGGCATTTGTCTCCCCAGTTCAAAGGTCCAGTACAAGCCACCGATAACATCTAAATACATGCTAATTGAGCCGTTTGCTTTATGTTTGGATCCTGAATTATTCCTTGACGTCTGAGAGTGAGAAAAATTCTTATTTAACTTCAGTGCCTTAAAAATGGGAGTCCCATTCAAAGCAGGGAGATGAACAATCATGTTCAAATCAACTTAATCTAGTTGAGCAACAGAGGAGCTCTGTAAATTCAGCGTCACCTCATTCATCCTCTTGTTGAGTGCTAAGTGAAGACATACATTTTAATTCATTTAGGGCCCTCAGCTTGCAAATTGAGCCCTCTGTCATCTAGGCCAAATCTACCGAGTGGCCTCTGTCTGCGTCAAGAAAAGACAAGATTCTGATTGAGGATCTTCTGTAGAAGTGCAAATGGATCTGAAGCATATAATTGAGCCAACCAGCTTGAATGAATCAGAACTGTAGATAAAAGTATGAATTCACACTCAAACTTTTAAGGAATAGTTCATCGGGGGGGAAAAAATATAATCATTTAATTTAAATCTAATATGGTTGTGAATCCTCATGGATTTAAAATTTCTACAAAATTATTCTTGCAAACCAAGAATATGATAATTTGAGCTTTTAACATCTTAAATGTATTTTTTAAATACCCAATAAATGGTCACAGCTCATTAAATCTTGTATTCAGAGCTGTGTGTATATGATTTAGATGTTGGTCAAATGTTTAATGTGCTGTATTTGTTTGTATTTATGCTAGTATCTATAATACCCTGAAATTAACTTGAATTAGCAAATATGCTGATTTTTTTAACCTTGTTATTAATTAACACTTGGTATGACTAAGCTAATGATTGTAAAGAAACAATTTGATTAAGGTCTTTCAAAGCGCTAAAGCAGCTGCATATATCAATGTTAAACATTTTCAAAAGTCATTAAAATGAGCAATTATGCATGCAATTATGGATCCACAGTTGGCAAAGGGTTAATTTGGGTTTTGTGGAAACACCACCATTCAAAAGGTTAGAATGCTGTTCTATTTTAATATATTTTAACATATAATTGTATGTGATGGCAAAGTTGCATTTTCAGCATCATTACTCCAGTCTTCAGTGTCACATGATCCTTCAGAAATCTTTCTAATATTTAATGTCCAATCATTATCTATTGTTATCTATGCTCAATTATTAATAATGCTTTTTATTTTTGACAGGGTTTTTTTCTGCTTAATACTTCTGTGGAAATGAGACATTTAATGTGTCCTTGCTGAATAATAGCATTCACTTCTCACCCCAAGTTTTGATCAATTTAATGTGTCCTTGCTGAATAAAAGTATTAATTTCTTACCCCAAACTATTCAATGGATTAATGTCCAATCATTATCTATTGTTATCGATGCTCAATTATTAATAATGCTTTTTATTTTTGACAGGGTTTTTTTCTGCTTAATACTTTTGTGGAAATGAGACATTTAATGTGTCCTTGCTGAATAATAGCATTCACTTCTCACCCCAAGTTTTGATCAATTTAATGTGTCCTTGCTGAATAAAAGTATTAATTTCTTACCCCAAACTATTCAATGGAACTGTATCATGGTTTCCAAAAATATATTCAGCAAAAACTTTTAATATTGATAATACTAAGATATGTAATATGATTCAGAAGGATCGTGTGAAACTGAAGACTGGAGTATGGCTGCCGAAAAATGTTGCATTGCCATCACAGGAATAAATTACATTTTAAAATACAATAAATGATAAAATAGCTATTTTAAATTGTAACAATATTCACAATATTACAGTGTTACTGCATTTTTTATTAAGTAAATGCAACCTTTATGAGATACTTTATATAGGAGACTCCTTTCAAAAAAACAAAAACAGCAATAACAATTAATTATTCCTACTAACTTAACTTTTGACTGGTAGTGTATTTCGCTCAAGCATTTACAAAAACAAAAGCGCTCTTACCCGGTAGTAGTCAGTGCTGTAGATGTCTCTTGACATTCCAAAGTCTCCGATTTTCACCAGCAGGCCGTTGCCCACCAGGCAGTTGCGTGTGGCCAGGTCACGATGCACAAAGTGCTGAGACGCCAGGTAGACTATCCCTGATGCGATCTGACTGGCTATGTGCAGCATCTGAGACAAACCCAGTTCCCCACTGGTCTGCAGCGGCTGTCCGTCAACCAGGATCATTGCATCTGGACCATGAGCTCTGTGAGTATAAAATAATGCCACTTCAGTCCCCTAACGTATTTGGATGCTTACAACACACTTTAAAATGATTGCATTAGATAAGAATGAAATCAGAAAACTTTAATGAATACTTAACAAAACAAATCAATATGAAATTAGAAATGAGCTAATGCTGCCATTTACGTATGTCAGTGCAATGTTGATTAAAGTTACCAATAGATAAATTTTTTCTTCAAAGGAAACGTATACTGTATGATTCAATTTGCATCCCTGCCAGTTCCTCTGCCCTTTCACGAATGTATCGCCTTATAGTGTCTTTACGTATGAAGCAGTTTTGACAAAACCTGTTATCCCCCCATAATCCTGCTGGCTGGAAAGAGAAAGCAATTTCTGCTCTTTCGACAGGGCTCTGTCAGGAACCATGTACACCTTTGTATCCACTTCCTATTGCTTGTTCAATACCTCTGTGGAAGGTTGTAACCTATCAATCGCAGTCAGAACGAACCTGCTGACATCACAACGCTCAACAAGAAAACGTATGCAACATTCTAATGCAGGGCTGGCCAACCATTCCAAAAAAAAAAACTACAAGTACCCATAAAAGATATTGAAATGTCCAACATTTTTGTGAGTAATTATGAGCAATATATACATTTATGCTCATATGTTTACATACTTCAGGTAGAATATGCAAAATGCTAATAATTTCAACAAAATAAGAAGGATCATGAAAATTGCAGGAGTATGTAAACTTATGAGCAAAAAATGTAGCTAAATATATGCCATAAAATGTATAGAATTATTGGGAAAATGTGAAATTTATTAATTAAAAAGTATTCTTTTATTATTTTACAAACTTAACACTGCATATTTTAACAAACTTTTGAATAATTATGTTATACACATATATATGTGTGTGTGTGTGTGTGTGTTTTAGATATACTTTTAAGAAATTTTCATGCAGTAAGACGTTATACATCTAAAACTACCTAACTAACCAACCAACCAACCAACTAATTAACTCACTTTTTTTTTGTGTGTGTAAAATAAAAATGCTTTAATACATTCCTAAAATATTGAGGATGATGATGATAAAATAATAATGGTTCATGGACATGTTAAGCATCAACTACCCATATAACATTTGTTATATTTTGTTTCATTTAGATTATTTAATTAAAAAATGTATATATTTTAAAATTAATTGGGCATTTCTGTCATAATCATAATTAAGGGTTGCAAAGGGGAGGGGTTGCAAATAGTTTTTAATGTTTCCGTAAATTTACTGGAATTTTTCCACCCCTTTGCAGCCCTAACAATTCCAATTCTGTTTGCAGCCCCACTACAATTCCATCATGAACCTCTGGTTGAGAAATTCTCAGAAAATTCCCAGATCATCATATTGGAATTCAATGGTTCCAGAATTAAGTTCTACTTGGTCTGTGACCTCAATCAATTATAACCAATTCCCTTCATATCTCCGATCATTACACAAGCAAAGCACAAATATTACTGCATTATAACAGCCACAAACCTGAGGAACTTGTTGAGGTCTCCGTGTTTCATGTACTCAAAGACCATGATAAGCGGATCTCCATCTACACAGACGCCGTAGAACTTCACTATGTGCTCGTGCTGAAGGTTGGTCAGCAGCTCGGCCTCCCGCTGGAAGTCTTTCCTCGCTGCAAGGGTGGGATCCTTCAGGGTCTGCGCAGACACATAAGACGGCCAGTTTATTGTCTAATAACCACAAAAACACCCAGAAACTAAAGCATTGTGGGTAAAACCAAAGATATCGTGGGGGAAAGTTAAATTAAAATCTGTATTTCAAAACAAATCATTTATATGATTGGATATATTGTGTATATCTAGGAATTAAATGTGCCTTTGCTATTGTTTTTTTGATACTCACAGCACAAGTAAATTAATTAAGGGAGCTTAAATGAGTCAGTCTGTAATAAATAATTCAAGTGAATAATTAATCAGGTTAATAAGACTAACTGCTCCAACTAATCTGGATCTAAACGGTTCCATCTTTAATGGTTTATGAATCCCGAACGATATACAATATGCCACAAACCAATGGAGCATGCAGAGCTATTTTTGACAATATATTTAAATGCATAATCAAAATGTAAAAGAGTAAAAAAAAAAAAAAAACCTTTTTGCACAGATGTTGTAGTGCTTCAAATCATTCAGTTAGCAAATATATATAACTATATATAACTATATATATATATATATAACTATATATATATATTATAAACTTATATAACTATATATATACTGTTAAACTCAATAAACTCAA